TTTTATTACAAAAACCATAGTTGTGGGGCTGGGGGATTTTGGTATCTTTCAACTACTACTTTTATTGGGTGAGAAGGCAATGCATTAAGCATTCATTCTGAGTTAAGCCATTGGAGGCAAGAGGAATTGTCATGTTCTAGAAGATTGCCCTATGTTACTGTAGGTGTGTAGGTTCTTTCCCATCCCCCTCGACACCTCCCACCTCCACCCAAATTCTCTGGATTTCCTAAAATCCCTAGGACTTTTTTTTTTGTGGTGTTAGGACTTTGCAGGAATGCTTGGCCCATACTCCGTATTAGATTTAGCAGTTGGAATGTTATGCTTTAAATGCCTGTTCCTAGGAGTTGAGCAGTTTGTTTATTGAGATGATATAAGTGATCCCACTGGTTTTTATTGGCAGTGGAAGGCACACTGAATATTCAAAGCAAATAGAATTGATTTGTAAAAATACAAAAAAGTAACTGCTGTGAAACGTGAGGCTTGAAACATTTCTGAGCAGTTTTTCTTCTCTCTAATTTGTTTCTCAGGTGTAAACCTTTGGCAGTGCTTAAAGAGACCTGACACGTCTTCTGCTCTGATAAATCTAAAGAAAACTACTAAAAGGTTTTTCAAGAGAACAAAGATGCTTAATCTAATGTTATACTTACGTTAATCACCTTTGCTTTTACAGTGAAGGAATAATACATAGTTTACACTTCTATTATCCTGTTTCCTTCTGGGACTTCATGTAAGCCTTCCTTTTATAATGCCAGCCAGCTAAATTCCATATCCTTAAACTGAGGATACTGTAAGAAGGAGATGAAATTTCAAATTGTTATTTTTTTTATCTTTTAGAGCATGTTCTGCTAATTCATACCTTTTTTTGGTGGAAGGCTAATAAGTGGTATGATCGCAGTCCATCCTTTCAATTTTTCAAAGTGACAAAACAGAAATTCATATTTATTTTTGGAATATCACCACTGTTGATGATGCACTGCTCAGAAGCAAGTGTCATTAAATCTGCAGCTTGTGTACAGTACTCATAGACATGGTAGGAATGTGTTCTTGGGGAGGGCAAGTCCCATATGTTTTCATTTAGATAGTTTTCAATAAGCTTTTAAATCTTGTTAAAGACCTTGCTAAGCTTGGTTTTGAATGATCAGTTGGGAAACATCATACTTAAAACATTGCTTTATTAAATTTGGATCTCATGTAGTGATTGAATCTGACAATTATGAAGAAAGAAGTGGGAAAAAGAGTTTGAATTCAAAATAGAGGGACTGATTCACAAAACTCACTGTCATTCTTGGAGCTGTATTATTGAAGAGACACAGTATAGTATTAAGTGTATTCATATTGTGTCCTGTGTTTCCAGGAATGTTGTAACTAATGACTCTATGCTTTTCTCAAGAAAATTTTATTATCCTATGAGTAAGCTTTGCTGTGGGAACTTACGCTTGCCTAAGAATGTATTTGAATTGTTCCACAATTAGAGATTAGTCCAGCAGTGAAATTCAGATGAGCTAAAGACAGCATATAAAAGTCCTGATTCCTTTTTAATATTCTTTGAGCCAATGCTGCAAGGTATTCAGAGCCTGAAAACTTGGAACTGAACTACTTTTAACCAAGAATATTAGTATCTCCATTTTGTTCTGTCCTCTTTTAATGATAATGCTATCACTGTTTATTGAATGGAATAAGGAGACATGTCTTCAGTGTGTAGATTCACAGCGTATCTGGAGGTTGGCTATGAGAGTTCCAAAAGCACTGTGGGAAAGGAGTTCCAAGTTCACTCAAACCTTCCAAGTAGACAGCGTCAGTTTTCTTGGTATGTTGCTTTCCCTTTGACAGAAAGTCTGTCCAGAGAAGACAAAGGAGTATTGGATTTATGCCTTCCAGACTCTTTGATGAGAAAACTTTGAGTTTTTAATTTCATCCAGGCAAAGGCATTTCTTTTTGCTATTCCAGTCATTACAACATCCTGCTGCTGCCTTCAGAAAAATTACTGGGCACACTGCTTCCCCTGTGCAGGTGACAAATGCTGTTTGGGATTTTTGAGGCTAGGATGGAGCATCTCACTTAACTAAGTTAAAAACTAACACATATATAATTTTTCCAAAGCATGATGAAGAAAACCTTCTTAAACTTTCTCCTCTATCTTTCCACTGTCATTGGTGGTGTACAGGGAGATCAGCTTCCTAATTCAGACTCTTAAGGTAGTTGTTATAAATTAAATTGTGTGAAAACTCTAATCTGTTAGAATTACTTACACTATTTTTTCCACTAGGGAAATATTTAACTTTTCAGAAACCATGGACTGATTGTAACCTTTATGCTCCTGCCCTTAGAAACCACCATGAAGTTTGTACTCTCTCAGGTAATCCCACCGAGCTAAATGCACAAGCAAAGATTATTTCTGAGTAGTGTTTCTAGGATCTGATGCTGTAGTTGGTTTCTGTTTCTCTAGCCCTGACTTCTTGTATGTTGTACAAGCAAAGCCACATCTCTTTTGCATGTCCCTCTTAATGAGATCCCTTCATTATTATTTTCTTTAACTTCAGCATTCCTATGGGTCTTGCAGAAAGTAACATGTTCAGAAGAAGAAAGAATGTGGTAATGGATAGCTTAGCACTTTTCTTACTCTGTCCTGCTTCATTTATAACTAGTTTTATAAAACTTTTTTACGGTCTTAACGTTGAATTAGAATCCAATTCTAGTGTGAAGTGACACTGCTCAAAATGTCTTTAACAGCCCTGTGCTTTTGGAGTTGGAGTTTTTAGTGAGTAAAACCATTTTTCATTTTCTCAAATGCCGTTTTAGTCCAACCTGTGCTCCAAAACGAAGTGAGTTTAGTGGTCTGAGTCCCGTCCCTGGTGAACAATAGTCGACATTACAAAAACACCAAACCCACACAGAGCTGTCGGTTTCTGTTCAGGAACACTCAGGCCAGGCCAGCATGGAGACAGAATTACCTCACACCCGAGGGAGTGATTTTTCTAGGTGAACATTGAGGTCATTCTTCAGGCAGTAGGGAAAGGCATGTCTTGTGAAACTGGTCTCCGATCAGCCAGCAAGAGCAGCCCCTGGTAGTGCTACTGCAGGCTCTTTGTTCCCTTTAGTGAAGAGGTTTTGTAGTCTGGAGTTTCTCATTTAAACCCACCTGACATGCACCATTTACTCATGTCGGTGGAATATGCAAGCAAAGTTTGCATTTTAGAGGGCTGTTTTATCACGTTATTTGTTAGGAAGAATATGTTAATATGGTTAAATTCTTGATTCTGCCAAAATTAGTGTTCTGCCTTTTCTTTTAGAGCGGTGAAAAGCCACTGAGAATACATGAAGTTGCTAGCCATATGGTGAATATGATAATTTATGCTCATTAGAGCATTTTCAAGGCAAGGCTAGATAAGGCCCTGGGAAGACTGATCAGGCTGTTGTGTCTCTGTTCATTGCAGGGGAGTTGGACTAGATGGCCTTCAGAGGTCCCTACCAAATCTAAGGATTCTGTGATTCTATCAGCTATTCATTGAGATGTATTCTCAAGGGTTACTCTAACAGTGAAGCTGAGAGGCTTTAAATGTCTGTTATCTTTGTAGCGAACGAATTTAAAAAATAAAAAATGAGAAGCTCAGCACTTCTAAGTCTACCAATGTACAGTTTCAGCTGGGCTATACCAGGCTAACAAGTAAGGAACTGTAATGTAAGCCTGTAATGATTACGGAACAGAGGAAGCAGCTTGACGGGAGAAGTGAATACTTGGCTGTGTGTCTGAATCTGCAGAGAGACTAAAAACATGCCTGGCAACTGTTGTTTCCCATCACTTTCTCTGGGCTAGCTCAGCTCATCAGTGAGGGTCGTTCACCTTCTGCTCCACTCATAACTAACCTGCCACAGAATGCTAAAGAAGTGACAACAGTTTGGTTACTGTGTGTTTTGGTAGGTCTTGCTAAGCTCTGGACAGGGTCATGTAAAGAGGCTGTAACATTGCTATTGCTGTAGACCTTGTTCCTGAAAGGCAGTCATCAGCAATAGGAGCACTTAGGCAGAGTAATTTTTCCTTCGCTCGTAGTGATGGTGGAGATCATTCTAATGGTCCATTCCCTTTTATTTTTTTTTTCTTTTGAGGTTGATGGTACAAACAGGGAATGTTTCAGTTTGCTGTGATTGTTTGTTTGTTTAAAAAAAAAAAAAAAAAAAAAGAAAACAGCGTGTAGAGGCAAAATGCTAAGCTGGAGAGATGATGTGAATGAAAGTACTGTCTTGTGGCTGGCCTATGCTGCAATCAAGGTCATCATGAAAGTAGCAGAACTACTGAGGCAGGAAGAGAAAGGAGAGGTGTGCCCACAAACCTATTACCAAATTTTGGAGGATAGAGGAGATGCCAGCTTTTATTTGGATACTTCTGCCTTTTGCTCTCCCACTTCATCATCCACCTGCCCCTGTGCAAAAGTCGCACTTGATACTCCTTAGCCAGGTGAGGCTGGGAATGTCACTTGAGAACAGATATTTCCAATCTTCTCTTCAGTTTAGAGTGTGTTTAAATTGCAAAACTTTGAATGTTGTTTAAGGTTGCTTATTTCTAAAATAAATGTTTATGCTTGTATCATGTTATCTTACATAATTTTTAAACTATATTTAGGCCGTTTTTAACTAACTTGAGTGTGTCAAAGATAGTAAGTCCAAGTGAATATTGTGAAAATTGGCAGCTGTGGAGATGAGAGAGTGCCTGATAATGCTCCCACTATAGGGTAGGCTTACCCCTTACTTCACATGGGAAAGTAATCCAGAGAGAGAGATCAGGGAACACCAGTCTTTTGATTCTGCTATTTGTGGAACTTCTTGTTTATTCTTAGAAATCCTTTGAGAGTACTTTTGTAAACTGAGCACCAACTTTGTACAGAAGTGTCTAGATGATTTGTGACAAGTGGTGTATGACTTTGCTTGGTTAAATGTGTCTGATTGCTGCATGTTCTGATTCTCTTAGTAAAACTGGTATTTTTTTTATTTCCCTCTCTCCCAAGATTTCTTTTGACCTAGCAGAGTATACTGCTGATGTTGATGGAGTTGGCACTTTACGGCTCCTAGATGCTATTAAGACCTGTGGCCTTATCAATTCTGTGAAGTTCTACCAAGCCTCCACCAGTGAACTTTTTGGAAAAGTGCAAGAAATCCCGCAGAAGGAGACCACCCCTTTTTACCCAAGATCTCCTTATGGTAAGGCTTGCTGATGCGTGTGTGTCAGTAGTGTCTGTATGTCTGTTCTCTCTTCTCATGTCTCAGGGCTGATGTCATTTGGGTGTGAGATTAGAATGACGATAGAGCAAAAGTGACTAGACATGTTGAGAGGCATACCTTTATGAATTACTATATTAAAAGTATTTGCTGCCATTGCCCGGGGGTTGGAAATTACCATCTCACTTCTCAAGACTGTGTTCATTCAGATCAGAATTAGAGAGCTCTTTTAGAGAGGAGGGGGAGGGTTGGCTCTTCCTTCACTAAGAATTGTAAGATAGCACTGGAGTGATAAGGTTTCATACTTTTTGTTGCTCAAATGAAAAACTCCCAAGAGCTCATTTCTTCCTTCATGACCTCGCATTAAATTTGAAACACTTATTTAAGCATTGTGCATGGAAGACTTTGGTGATAAAGTTTCAAATCAATTTGAGTGTTAAGACAGCAGATTTTTGCTTTTATTCCTCTAAAGTCATTTTTTTTTTTATTAGCAGAGGTCACCACAGTGGCATATTTCACACGCTCTGGCTGCATTAATTGTATTGTAAAAGAAATATTGCTATGCTTGAGTGTGTGTAAGAAAACAAGTGAGAGAGTGCCCTAACCCTTCCTGGTCTATCCTGGGGCTGTGCAAAAAAGGAGTATTTTCTCGTTCAGCTGCTGTTTATTGGCCTGGATATTTTTTCCCTATGAAATGTGACACATCTAGGGAATGAACTGAATTCTAATTGAATTGTTGAAATGTGGCCATCACCCTGCATGCAACAGAGATGTGTGTGTGTGTCCAAGCAGTGCACAAGTGGAACGGTTATGTGTAACATCTTCTCCAATTATTTTTGTAGGTGCAGCAAAACTGTATGCCTATTGGATTGTGGTGAACTTCAGAGAGGCCTACAATCTCTTTGCTGTGAATGGCATTCTCTTCAATCATGAAAGTCCCAGGAGAGGTTAGAAAATCCATGTTAAACTGTTCCTAAGTTTGTGCATATCTGATAGGAAAAACGGTACAGTGAATCCAGAAGTTTTTTTTAAATCTCCAAAATGCTGTGGTGAGGTTGTTTGACTTGAGGTAGTCTGTGCACTGTGTTTAATGTAGCCCTTCTGGCAGTCTGCTATATGCCAGTTTTCACTCTCAATCATCACATTCCATTTTGTAACCCTCCAACTCTGAAAGGAGTGATTTTGTGTATCAGTGCTCTCAATAGACTGCAAAAATATCATAGCATCTCTGCATTTTCTTCCCTTCCTGATAGTAACTTATGGCTAGAATGTTAAAATGATATATTAAAAAGGCAGGTTTTAAAATCGTTCAGGTGAGCAACTGCATAACAAATGCAATTTCAAGTGTGACTTGTAGTCAAAAATTTTATTTGCATATAAATGTCAATGTAAGAAGCAGAAATAATAGTCCCTCTAAATTTCATAAGACTAGTGAGTACAGCCTGGTATATTTTGGAAACTTGTGGACTATGACACATGCCTTCTGTCACGATGGCTTTCAATGTATGGCTTTAAAATGCTTTTCTGTTTAATCCTTAATAGCAAGGCAGTTTAAGTTCCACTTAATCATGCTTTTTCCTCTTGCACTACTTTAGGAACAATTAATAATGGTAGTTAGTTTGAGCAAAAGTCCAGAGTTGATTAAAAGTCTCTTACACAGTGACAGCTTTCCTCTGCCCTTAAAATACTGTGACATAGAAAACACTCTAAAATTAAACTTTAAATTGACACACAGAACTGGATTCTCAGAGAGAAGCCTTTTATTGTGGTCTGTTGCTAAATGAAATATAAATTCAAATTTTACAGGAATGCAATTATGTAAATTATAGCCTAGTACAAAACATAATCATTTTACTCATACTTACAAATATAAAATAGACCATAATTGCAACTGTTTAAAAAAAAAAATAGAGGAAAAAAGTCAATATGATTTAAATAGGGATTTCTTTGCGAGTCACAGCTGTAAAATCTTACAGTACACTGAGTAGGCAGTGTTTCCAGGACATGATGCATCAAGTCCATGGTGGCAGAAATTGGTGGAGTGCTTCATGCCAGAGCAGTTGACACTACAAGTTCAAAATTAAAAGAGAATCAAATTCACTAACCTGTTTCATTTAGGAGCCCTAATACTTTGCTTTCTTTTAAGCATTCCACTGCAGTATAGTCTTGGTGCACTATATAAGGTGATGTGCAAATTGCTTTGCATTATAATGTTGAAATTAAAACCACCTGACCAACATAAAGCATGAAGGAAAATGCAATTACACAAACAACCCTGGCATGGTACTGAAGGAACTGGGGCTGCTTAGTCTGGGTAAGAGGAGGTTGAGGGGAGACCTTATTGCTCTCTTCAAATACCCAAGAGGTGATTGCAGTGAAAGCAGGGTTGGTCTCTTCTCACTGGTGACAGCATGAGGGGAAATGGCCTCAAGTTGCACCAGGGGAGGTTTAAGTTGGATATCAGGGAAAACTTCTTTACAGAAAGGGTTGTTAAGCACTGGAACAGGCTGCCCAGAAAAGTGGTGAATCACCATCTCTGAACGTGTTTAAAAACCATTTGGATGTGTTGCTCAGGAACCTGATATAGCAGAGGGCTGTTAGAGTTAGGGTAGTGAGGTCAGGTTGCAGTTGGACTTTTTGATGATCTTTAAGGTCTTTTCCAACCTGAGCAGTTCTATAATTCTGTGATTTCTAGTAATGCTAAACAACTGCTGGATAAAAAGTTACAGAAACACATTTATGATTTTTGCTGTTTTTTTCTCTGCAGGCTTGTGCCTTTTTGAAATATAAAAACTTCACTGCTTGTTGCTGTTTTGATCCCTCTGACATTCATTCCAGCTTTGATACTGCTAAAATGGAGCTTCCAATGAGAAGTCTCAACACATTTAATGTCCCTGTGGAGAATGAAGTCTGTGCTTTGAAGTCCCAGGCTGTTCTTCTAGTTGTGTGTTTGTGATTCTAGTAAAATTTAAGCCACTTCTGCCATGAACAGGAATCTTGTCTTAGAAGTAGTTCTGGTTGGCTCCATTAGCTTTAGCAGGAGCGCAGGCAATGAAAGTAACAGTAAACACAGCCCACCATCATTTCCTTAGTGTTTTTATGTGAGAATATCTTAAAATTTTTCAGAGAAGAAAATAGAAGCGAAAGAGTTTTGAGGTTGTTTTTTTTTAATTGGCATTCACCACTTTTGGTTTTGAAGGCTATAAACGTGCTCTGTGAGGCGAAGGGGGTGTAATAGGAATTATCTATCTCAATACAGAGATGGTAATATGGTGAAAATGTATAGCTAGTGGTGGTGGCTATGTTGAAAAATACTGTTTAGTAGCTGAGAATTTGCTATATCAAAAAGTGCTGTTGTGCTCTTTGTATCTGTTGTAGTTTCCATGGAAATGAATGGAAGGCATTACTTTTGAAGTGATGTATATTTTGTTTCATATTTCATACCATTTTTGTTGAAGGCATTTTCTCCTTGGGATGGTATGAGGCAAATTTAGGCAGAAACATGTTATTTCAGAATACTGATTCTTTTCTTTAGTCTTCCCAATTTTGTTTTGGGAAGGAGCTCTAGTGGTAGTTAACATCATGTATGCTACGTAGTAATAAACAAGTCCGCACAGAGTTTGTTAAGGGTGGAGAGTGCTTAAGTCTAATATAAGAGGCTTCTTATTTACTGAAATTAGGAATACTTGAGAAAAGTGCTGGCTTTGAGAAGCTTGTTTGATTTTTTTTACTTTTGTCTTGTTCTTTCACTCTGTAACAAAAATAGAGTAACAGGAGTAGATTTTAAGATGTGACACTCTTAAGCTCACTGTGTGGGCTGATCTTTTGCATAGTGACAGCCACAGTGACTTTATAGAAAAAAATAAAAAATAAAAAGCACCAATAAGTTCCAGGTTGCTTGACCCTCTGTCTGCACCTTTCATCTTAATTTGGGAATAGCAGTATAGCAGTATAGCATTATCAAAATGCACCAATGAGTCCCTGCTCAGGAATTGCATGCATGTGTAACAACAGAGAACATTATCTAAAATCTCATGTGAAGTAGAACAAGTGGCTGTGTAGTATTTTCCTTTTTATTTTTTTTCTTTAGGAAATGAGAGGCAGTAGGTATAACAACAAATAGTCACTTTTTGACTGGTACATGTTCTTCAGCTCACACAAATCAGTATGGTTGTGTTGAAGTGAACTGGGCCGTGTTGATTTATACTGGCTGAGCATAGTATTTCACGTGATGGCTTGGTAATGTGAGGTAAGCATAATTCCCCTGTGCTGAGAAAAGACTGGTTACAGCAATAAGCCTTGCTAAAGCTGGTTTTCTCTCTTACTTTTATCACTCGTATACCAGGTATGGCTCAAGTGATTCCTGATTTATGGCATGCCAAAGGAGAATGGCCTTTTCTATTTCTGAGGCTTATTTATTGTCTAAACATGACGTCATCTGAAAAGCAAAATGCTCTTTACAGTGCAAGTAAGCTACAAGATGGTATATGTTTCCAAAACTAAACATACAAGAGATAACCTAAAAAGTCTTTGCAGATAAAGCAGGGAGATGTACGTTAGAATGAATCTGAATGGTCTCTCCACAGTAATCTTGTGCAACTGCCATAACAGAGTGGTTTTTCTATCACGTTTCAGAGTGCTAATTCCAAAGTTGTGACTTTCCAGGCTCCAGGGGGTGATGTACAGAGAGCTGGACACATAGTATTGTAGGGTTGCTTTTTTGTTCTTCTTTTTTTTCTTTAATAACATTGTGGAATACCAAATGGGGAAGCTTGTGATCAGCGAGTTTCTGTTGGTGGTTGAATGTGGCTTCCAGTGTTACCAGTGTAGAAATGTCTGCCCTATAGCAATATTGAAAAGGTATTTCAGTTCAGTGAGATGACGGTTTTGACAGCGAAAGAGTGAGGCAATTAGCAAGTCTAGTTTTCTGGAAAGCTGGGGCATGATCCAACTCTTCTTTATACCATTGGAAAGATTCCTATTCTTTTGTTGGGCTGTGGATCTCACTGATGCCATTTTTTATGAGTAAGAAAGCTAACTACCTGTTGACAGTGTCATTTGTTTCTTCCCAGACAAGCCCTTACTTTTTCTGCTCCTCAGTTCTCTGTATAGTTTTCTCAGGTTTACAAGATGTGCCTTTGGATGTCTGAGATAACTCTCCGATTTGGTTAACCACTTCATTGCTTGCCTCATCTGATCGTTATCTGCCAAGATGTACAAACATGTACAGCATGTTTCCTGACACAATGCAACACAAGTTTTGTTTTCTTTTTGCTGGATTTTTTTTTTTTTTTTCTGTAAGTACTAAATACTTTGCCTCCACACATGACATAATTGTGTAGATCATTGTGTAGGAAATTTTTGTTTGTCTGATACCAGCTCTGGTAAAGCAGTTGTCATCAGACCCTTACTGTATACCCAGAGGGAAAGGATGCAACCGCTCATTTCTATGATCACTTTCAGCCAGAAAGGAAATGGCTAGGTGTTAGATTGCAGGCTGAAGGTTGTCAAAGTACATGTAGAAAGATTAAAATGAAAAGAAATCATGATTTGAAGAGAATGGGGAGTGTTCTTTGCCTTTATTGTGCAACTGGATTGCAGTTTTGCTAGGAGGGAGTGCGGTAAGGAGTTCTACCGCTTGCTGCAAATATACTTGGGTGTCTTGAATTTTTTTGTTGTTACCTGTTTTTTTTTCTCTTTTTAACAAGTTTTCAGTCTCCTTTTTGCCTCTATTTAACAGAGAGGGCAGTAGCAGATGGTGACATCTGCTACCAACTTTCACAAGAAATCCCTACAATCCCTGCAGTAACAGCTGCTCTTCTGCATCTCCTATAAAAAGATGTGCCCAACATCTGTCAGATTTCCGTTTGTCATTTTTTCATTGAGGAAACTAATTGCTGGTGTCCTTACAAATGTTCTGTGCAAGAGGGGCTTAGGCAACCTAGCA